GAGAGAGAGAGAGAGCCTTGCCACTTTTCCACCGGTTTTCCACGGTGCACGTGCCGCTAACAACTCGCGCCACCTCGGTGACGACGTCCGCTTTTACTTCGAAAGTAGCTTCGCGGAAAGTTTAAATCCTCGAAAAAGGTAGCCGTGGAAAAGTTGTTATTGCGGGGGCCACGATGGGAGGGGAGGAGAGGGGCAGAGTCGTGTACGTGGAAGGGTTGGAAATCCAGGAGGATTGAGGATCGAGCTCTCCCCTCTCTCGAGAAACGATACACGGAAAAACAATAATTCTTTGCCGGTAAAGCCATATAACTCTCCCGAGGGAGTTGAACCCCCGCGTATCTATCGGATTTCAGAGGGACGTCGGGAAGAACGGCGAGATAAACGATCGAGTTGACGTTTCAGATTCTCGAACGTCTCCTCGACTCGTCTCGTCAACTTGCAATTAACTCGATTCCGTGTAATTGACCTGGCAAAAAACGTGGTGGTAATCGGCTTTACCGGCCGGAAATGTCGGGCTCGAATTTCATTCCGTCTTCCGATCTCCTCCCATCCCCTTCCATTCTTTCGATCGCACCTGCTCTCCCAACGCTTCTCCACGTTTCTTCTCTTCTCTTCTCTTCTCTTTTTCTTTTTCCCTCGCCTGAGATATGCAGCTGCAATTGCGAGCTGCAACTGGCACGCAGCCATGCGACCACGGAGGCGATGGCGATGAGGAAGGGGTGGAAAAAAGAGAGAAGGGGGGAGAGGGAATGGGCGCGAGAGGTGAAAATGGAAAAGCTGTGCGGGTGGAGAGGACAGGCGGAGAGGTGGAGACGAGGGGGGGGGGGAGGGTAGGACGACTGTCGAAGACGACGTCTTTTCAGATTTGTAATGGGAAAAGCCGATACGCATCGTGGTGCGCGCACTTAAGGCTGTTTATTCCCCCGCGGCACTTATAATGCCTCCTATAACTGAGAAGATATTTCTGGAAGCGTCTTTTCCACGAACGAAACGACGAGAAAACCGTGGTGGTGAAGGGAAGAAGCGTGGTGTGTACGAGTGGGAGAGATAGAATGGGAGAAATTGAAGGGGGAGGTGGAAACGAAACAGAGACGCGAGGGGTCGCGCCGTCATTCCGCGATGCAACGGGAGGAGGAGAGCGGGAATCTTTAAGGAAAGGAATCTCTTTTTCACGGGAACGAAACCGTCCACGACGACAACGTCTCACCTTTGAATTTCCTTCTTTCCTTCCTTCCTTCCTTCCTTTCTTCCATTCCCCTCCGTGGGCTCTCATTGCCCATTTCTTCGTTTTTTTTTTTAACGCCCACCCTTTCTCGTCGCCTTCCAGCTTTCTTCGTTCCAATGCACCGCCACTGATAACCGACCTGGCTAACGATCTCTTCCTGTCTCTCGGTACCCCTGCGTCATTCCCCAACCACCCTCTTGAACCCCGGCCACACACCAAAGTGTCGCCATTCCGGACAAACTTGCACGGCCATTGCTTTAATTTTTCGAGGCCATTCCGCTCACGCTGATCTTTAAACGCGACGCTTCTTATCTTCTGCCTCCACCCCTCGCCCCGCTCTTTATAACCTTCCTTCCTCCTTCCTTTTTTCTTTTCTTTCTTCTTTTCCTTTTTTTTTTTTTTAACGCTCGCGCGAACTAACGCTTCCGCGATACAACTTAAGTGTAATGATAGGACCGACCGCACGGCCGAGAAGGGCTCGTTCCCGAGGTAAAAATTCACCGCGAGGAGAATGGTCGGAGGTAGAGAAAGCTCTCGATCCTTTCTATTAAGCGGACGCGTAATTTATCCCCCCTTCCCTTCCGGTTAATCGTGCCAACCGTGAATACCGTTTTTGCTCCGATTCGGTTCCAGCCACTTGTACATTCCCATCATAGAGATGGGCTACAAGAAGAATACCGCATCTGTCACCGTGTTCTTCATCAGCGCCTTTTTCCACGAGTACCTCGTCAGCGTGCCGCTCAAGACGTTCAAAACGTGGGCGTTCCTCGGAATGATGGGACAGGTAAGATGTAATACCGTGTAATATTCCACTCGCGAGCCAACGTTCCGCCTATCTTCACACCTTCTACGTTTAATCTTTCGGATACGATAGATTATACATGTATATATATATATGTAATCGGTTTCGATGCCGATCATAGTATTCGAGAAATTCGGTATCTTTGAAGTGTTGCATTCGCATTACTATCAACGCTCCGATAAATTTATTTATTTATCGATTGTACCGTGTCGAAAAGATTCGAGAGAGGAAATTTTTAATCATCCCTCGTGCGTTCGCGGGGGGAAAAAAAGGCTCGAAAGTTGGAGAACGATGGCCCTTTCCAGCAATCGATCCAACTGTCGAAAGATTAATATTAATTCGCACCTACCCCGATCGAGAACTTTTTTAATCGATTTTCCAGATACCATTATCAATGATAAGTAAGAAGGTGGAGAAGCACTGGGGCGCCAGATGGGGCAATATCACGGTGTGGGCGAGTCTCATTATCGGACAACCACTTTGCATAATGATGTATTACCACGATTACGTGATAACTCACTTCGGCGAGAACTTGATCGAGGATTATTCCGTGGTGTAGGTAGTAGAGAGAATCGAACTCGAAGCGAACGGTCACGCAGAGGTCTGGAAGAAGAGATTCTCCGGCCAAACTCGCCACTCTTCCATCAATTTTTTTCCCCTTCTCCTTTCCTCTTTTCTTCCGCCATCTTTACACCTCTGACTCCGCGTGTATAACCTATTTTTCAATCGACGTTTACGCGAATTCTTCCATTTTTTTTCTCTCTCTCTCTTATTCTCTCTCCAACGATGAATGAGAGTCGGTCACGTGTTCGTGTATCGCGAGTATATTCTTTAAGTATTCTTACGCGTATTGGTTTTGTCCATTTCGGATTTTTCTTCTTCCAGTAGGAATTATATGGATTTTTTTTCGAATGAATCGTAATTACCTATTTCAAGATACAAATTTCACGTTCGTATCTGTATATATATATAGGTATATAATCAGGTAAGTTGTAATTTGTAAAACTTCTATTAAATTTAATACTGTGATAACTCCAGGGCTAATTCTGGTAAATGTACAGTACGCGCGTGTATACAAGCGGACTTTGAACGTTTCCTCCTAATTTATTTACTCGTGTTGAATGGAAGGAATTGTCGTTACGAAACGTACTAGCATAAATAAGTTCGTGTAGCTCGAGTTAAAATTGAATAAATCTACTGACATGATACATCGATAGAGAAGACCATATATTTCTGGAGCGTGTAAATCCAGAATAAGCCCTGCGTGCATCCAGAATAAAATACAATTTTACAAATAATTCATAACTCTCTCTCTCTCTCTCTC